CTCATGGATTTTCAGTCTAGCTTGGCAGTGGCTACATCTCTAATAATACAGTGACCTGAACTTGTCGAGAAAAAACGGAATGACTGTGTCTCTGTTGTCAGAAACAGAAACCGTCTAAAATTTAATTTGTAGATATCATAATTTTTAGCTCTTGTTCCACTCCAAGCAAACCCCTTTTCTAAAGTGCTTCCCTCATTGTGCTCCTAGGTTTGTCTTTGGCCTTAACTTCAGCTGCAACAGCCCCTACACAAAAGTAAAACAGCTGTATCTCTCTCTAAAGAGGATACAGCTCCCAAGCCTTTCACCCCAGCATTATTGGTAGGACAAATGTCCAAAGTATTTTAGAAAATCACACTAAAAGTGGTAAGTTTTCAGCCTCACTCTCTGAATCACTGGAAAGAAGGGTCAGATAAACTTCATTTCTCCCTCCACCTTACATACACAGTCTTTATGTTCCAGTTCTGCATTGCTTTTCACAGAGTTGGCCCATGAAGCGTAGCTTTCACCATATGACAAGTAGCATGCATAATATAGGACCACCACGCTATAGGTCTATGTCATGCCTTATAACTAAACCTGAAGATAAGAAAATACTGATTACAAAGAACAACAAATTGCAAACTATATCCTAGGATACGCCTCAATAATTTTTATAGAGCTCTGAAATACATTTTCACCAGAAAAAAAAAAAAGGGGGAGCTTTTTGTTTGACCTTTCAGAAATGCTTACTCCATTAAAGATGTTGCAGATGTTCCACTGCACGCAAGTTAACTGTCTTCACTTAGCCAGATGTCATATGAACAAGGTTGGCTTTTCCTGCAAAGTAATCTATTCTCAAGCTAAAGGTCCACTGCGGCCTTTTCTAAACACTATGTAAATGGAGCTGAAGCATTGGTACCTCCTTACGGCCTAAGTCTTGGTGAAACGTGGAAACAAACAAAAAAGTGTGTTATGATGCTGTCAGATTACAGTATACTTAACACAGTTTAACTACTGCTTAATTACTGTATGTACTGTAATTACAGCACAGTTCATTACATCTACAACCACAAAAATTGTGCTGTTTCTCTCCAATGAAGAAATAGGGAAGTTTAAAGTTTTTATCTGTTATCTTCAGCATACGAGATAGATCTTTTTTTCCTTTGTCTAAAATACTGGAAGAGCTAGCTGGGTGAGTACTGCTAGGTGTTTTATGATCCCTTGCTGCCATACATACCAGCTAGGTGTTTCTCCATGGTCTGAAGTTCTTTTGCTGCTAAGGAGTCCTTTAAGAGTTTCTGTCTTGGGGAACCTCCAGGTCTGACACCCATGGCATCCAGGGTCCAAAATGTCTGAGACTTACACAGATTAAAAGAAAAAAGAATATATTTTAATGTAGTTCCACATTTACATGTGCAACAATAAAAAAAGTGCTATCCTCATTTAGAACAGTGAATTTGGTGCTTTTTATGTAAAATATGTATTTTATGCAAAATATTACAAAACATAATTTCTTACATTAAAGAACATAAATTGTAGACATTATTTAAAATCAACAGCTCTAAAGTAATTCAAGTACATACCTTCACTCTTGTTGCACACTGAGACATCATAACAGGACAAATTCTTCAATGATTTACATTCTGTGCAGTTCCAGTTACTTAGTGGGGGATATGCTTACTTTAAATCACTGAAAGGCACTGTATCTCTGAAATGCAGCACTTCTGGGAATATCACTGAATTCCCTAACCAAAATCGCCAGTGCTGTTTCAACACTGCAAGAAGTGTTCCTTTCAGCAACAGCACCTAAATCATCAGGGCAACATAGCAGTTTGGAAGGGATACCAACAAACAGTCCACCTCCCCAGTCACCTCACTGTTGATCACTGTGGTACCCCAAATCATCTGCATTTTCTGGAATCCACTCAATACAGTTACAAGAAATGATTTTTAAATGTACTATGAAGGAAACCTGAGAAGTTTTTTAATTCTTATTTGAAATACACAAAAAATACATGACTGAGTGTGCAAGACTCAGTCATAAAAACAACAAACAAAAACATTAATTAAAGCATTCTTAACAGCCTATCTGAAACAAATTTTACATCATTGCCTCACCAAAACTTTTCATCTATAGTCTAGTGGGTTTTGTTGATTTCCCATGTTTTCTAAAGAAACAAGGCTTATGCAATGGTCTCATTGTCATTCAGCTCTTACGAATTTTTTAATTTTTCAGTAAATGTCAAACAGATTTACAGAGTGCCACAGTTTCAAAGGCATCAAGCTGATGTAATTTCAGGGAGAAGAATGAGGAGAGGAGGGAGACCCAAACTGGTGATGCCATTCACAGAAGGCACATGGGGCTCCACTGCTGGGCGGTTGGGGCTGCACCACCAGTAGAGCCAGGGGCTGCTGCAGATTGCTGCAGCACGTGATGGTACTTCTCTGGCTGGACTCTCATGTCATCAGGAAAGGTGTACCAGAGTTCAAAGGATGAACATAAAGATATGGGTTTGATATCATCTCTAGTCACAAAAAATTTGATTTAACCATAAACACTAAATAAAACACTGCAGCTGCCTTCCCTTTTAGAAAAGCAAGCGTAATTCTAGAGAAGGAAAACATTATATGGGATATATTTTACACCATCATGAATCTGTTCCAAACAAACACTGCCTTGTACACAACGGATCACTGTGAACCATGTGTCTTTAAATTACGTTAACACAGATCCATATTTATAGAGCAACAGCTATACTGTAATGCTGCACACGTGTACACAAAAAAGTCCAATCATATTTACCAGCTCACAAAATAGTTGGAAGTTGAAGATGACTCTGTTGTTCTTAAATTACAACATTTTTATGACACTAATGACATTTTTTGATTTGACAATTGTTTTGCTCTGGTTAAAGATATTTGTATTTAATCCCAGGTAAATGCACAAGAACAGCTGAATAAAACAGCAAGTTCCTTAGTAGTGGAACTGATCCCTGCAAACATATATATTTCAGACATATCACTAAACCTGATTCACCTGTTCCTCCAAGAGATTTTGAGCATTTGTCACTTCAGTCCTCATTGTGAATTCTCCATAATCTGGCTTGCTGAGGTCATGACAGAATATATATTAATATTATTAAATTACTCACATCTCTATTTATTTCTAATAGATACTAGTTACCCAATACCTATCTCTAGATGGAATAATATTTTATTCTGTGAAAATTCCTCTGAAATAAATTAAACTAAACAAGAGATGGGAAGGGGGAATAGAGCCTGTAACAAAACTCTAATATTTTAATTTTCAATCTGGTTTTAGATATATTCTTATCCCCAGATTTTTATGACAGAAAAAGGCCATTTTTATATACATTTCATAGTGTATTTTCATAAGAGGGGAAAAACCAGCAGGACTTCCATAATGACAATGGGGGTGAAAATCCCGGAGGTTATAAGGATGAATCCTTTTCGAATATACAATTCCATGCACAAATACAACTCTGATGAAATATGGAATAAAAACTAGTCAGCAGTCTATGGTAATACTTCAAGACCAAACTGCTCTTCTAATATTCTTAACTCTGACTATTCAAGTTTATCATAAGCAAATTATTATGGGTTTTCAGTAACTCCTTAACCTCCTAAAAATACAGACTTCCAAATATTAGGCTGGTGAGAGGGTTTCACTCTCCAATGGCCTACTTCCTCAAAATGAAATGGAGGTATCTTCTTTTCTACAAATCTCTACTGTTTCTTCTTACACTCTGACTTTTCCTCTACTACACTTCTTTTCTTTATGCACAGCAATCATGTAAGACATATACAACTAAGGTGACTCTCTGAGCCTGTAGTAGAATCTAAGATAAATGGAGAAAAATGGTTCTTTAACTGTAGTCATCATGGCAGTGCTTTAGATGTTTACATAAACATGAGTAATGTTTAAATTAAATCACTTGCAGTTAGGAGACTCCAAATCACAAAGACCATCAAATACCAGCAATACCTTGGTATGTTTCAATACAGGTTTTTAAATCTTACATAAATTCATGTAAGACACACAGATAGGCCTGTGTATAAGCATGTACAGGCACACAAAGGCAAGTACAAACATGCATTTAATAAATATTTGTGTCTGCCTTCATCCTGTTAACACTCAGCTAGAAAGAATTAAGCGTTTGTCTTCAGTTCTGGATGTAGCACAGATGTACACATTCTTTCTAAGAATAAATAATAATCTTGCATATGATTTAAACCAAATATATTTACATATACTTAGTCTCTACCATTACATATTGCTATATGTTCAAACTCCCCTTCAGATGCACAGTTCCGACACCCTGTGAAATTAATGAGGTAACTTTGGATGAATTTTTTCCCCAAGTTTTGTATCTCTTCCTGTACTTTTTGTGTTCTATGTAACATCATAAGCTTACAGCATTTTGTCAGGCAACAGCTTCACAGAAGATCACAACAGTATTGCAATACTAGTTATGGAAGATGAGATATTTAATATTGGCAATTTAATTTCATGATAAATTATGTCCTTATAATAGCCCCTTCCAATTAAACACTCAGTTGATAGAAACTGATAATTATCTGGGAAAAAAAATGTACAAGAGTTCATTAAGACATTAAAACTGTAGTGAAATCACTTTTAGTTCCTTCTCTGAAGCTAGATATTTCAGGACTATAACCAACAATATTTTTGGAGGCAGGCTCAGGTAATGGTTTTATCTATATGTCTAAATAATACTGAACATAAAAAAATACTTTTTAACATTTTGAGACTATGAGCTCATCTAAGTGAATAACGCTTAAACACAGACAGAGGTCAGTGTCTCCAGCACACAATTTCTGCAACAGCCTTATGCCTAAAAGATAAACACAAGTTGAAAGTATGGGACGTTATCAAGGAGGCATTGGAAGCATGTCAGTTCAAATGCAAGGATAAAGGAACTTGTACAGCTCTAGCAGAATTCACTGGTGCCCCTTCCCTCCACTGGATGAATGGCCGCAGTTCAGATACGTCACTTAAGAGATTCAGGTTTGCAAGCCATTTACTTAAACCTTCTTATTCCACTTCACCAAAACCTATCCTTTGTCTAGCGGACAGGAATTGCAGAGATAAAACACTAATGTCAGTTAACTTGGACTTTAATGATAATGACAGTGGATTGAAAGTAGTTGAAAAATATACCATATATGTATGCATATATGTATTCATATATTCACAGAAGTCCTTCCAATTCCTTCAGTATCTTCCAAACAACAATTATCCTTGATCACTTATTAAGCTTTATAAATATCAGCATAAAATTTATAAACAGCCAATTTACGTTAACAAGATTAACAAGATTGAAATATGAGGATGTTCCTGAAAAACATCCTTGACTTTCTAACTTGTAGAAACAGCTCTGGGCCCTGTTCATCACCTTCAGGCTTTGAAGGCGAGGCAACATCTCTTGAATATATATATATATGTGTCTGAACACATCTCAGAAATATGTTCAAACAAAGCCCTCCGGATACATTTGTCAACTTTTAAGGTCAACTACGTATGCATTTCTTAAGTGGCTTTCTTTACATATCACCATAATTTCTTCACATATAATACATTAATTAATGTGGTTTTTTTTTTTTTTTACTTAGATCACCTAGCCAAATTACTGCTAAAATAAAAAATTACAAACAATAAAGCCAAAGGTAACCTCTCTCATCACTGTTTCCCTGAACTTATGGAAAATGCCCTAACTTACTGGGAATGACACAAGGGAACAGAAATACAATTAAGGAGGTCATGATCAAGAATAAAAAAATTTTTCCAAGATCACTATATGAGCTTCAATATGCAGTACAATGTTAAGTTTGACAGCATACATCAGTATAGCTTTAACCCTAAAAAAAATCAGTGCAGATGTGAATGTCTTGGTCTCGTCATCGAGCTAACTTGACATGGGCCATGTAACACCCACTGACACCTGGGGAGTCCTATCAGAACAGCTAAGGCCAAGAGGAAGGTCTCCAAATTGCCTACAACATCATCTGGAAATCAAGTGCCTGTTAGAAAATAAATTAGTCTTTCTTCCTGACCATAAAAAGTGTTACTAAACAATGCAGTGCTATATTTCTAGGTCATTTTGGTCTGCTTCAGAGTAAAACTGAAGGTACTCACACGCACATCCATACACACACACGCAATCTCCCGCACAGTCTCCTTCCAGGTGTGGGAACAGTGAGGTGGGCCTCACAAAAGAAAGTGCTTCTTCATTTTTAAAGACTATCTGAATTGCATGACCACAATGAAATGAGGAAAATGAGGTGAAACCAAATTAATCAGCTAGTTCCTGGCAAGTTG